ATGCCACACAGTGCCGGATTATCCTCGTAGCAAAAGTAGCTACACAAGCTACGGGCTCCGCACTTTCAAGGGCGCCGCGCTAAATGCTTTCAAGCTATCAATTCCGGTTCAGTGATTCTGCACTTGCTCTATTACTATAGTACTATACTGCCTTCAACTTTTACGAACGACTGGGTGTTTGAGGTTAGCGATTTGTCGTATTATCTGGCAGTATAGCAAATGAAAAAATACAAATAATTTACTATGCAAATACAAATTCGGAGTTTTAATATTTACGTGATTTTCTTTTATTTATGGCCCCTTTATAACATATGCTACAGGCCCCGCACTAGCTTAATTCGGCACTGATGCCACATCATTCAGATATTGTATGCTTAGTTTAGGTCTTTACTACAATGTTAACAGACCGGTGCAGCTTTATATAGGGTCAACATACAGCTGGGGTCAAAACAGCAACGCTGTCATCTCCAAAGTGTCCTTATTTCTACTCCCGAATAGGAGGCGAGGCCGAGCTCATTCCATCCCGAGGTGACCCATACAATTTGGTGCTTTGATTCAAAAATGTCCAACGACCTTGTACCTCGGAGTCTGCGGCGCCTGCGAGTCGTCGTTTTTTTTATATATATAAAAAGCGAATCGATTCCCGGGCGACCGTTCCCTCACCTTGAGATGTGAAAATACAGTCGGGCCACCGTTCTCGAAGTGTCCTTCAAGATTGATGTTGGTCTGGTCCACGGAGGGGAAAAGCTGGCGATAAATTCTGCAGTGGCGACGGGGGGGTAGGGGGAGTTGTATGTGGGCCTTCTTTTGGAAAGTAATATTGCCTCGAGGCTTTAGCCCAGAGGATTCGCAATGGGTGTGTGGTCTATAAACTAGACCAAACACGTTTACGGCTTCTTGGTTTTTTTTTACTGCTGAAAAATATCTAAAAAAAACCTCTATTAAACTTTAAAAACACCATATTAAAAATAGATGCATATTTTAATCAAGTTATGATTAAAATAAAAACAGTCACTGTACATTTAAAACAACCACTGTAACCTCTTTTTGTTAGTCGGTAAAAAACTTGACAATGCAGTTGGGCAATTTCAAAATCAACTTTGTGAGTGCTCTGGACGAAAGTGAAACTGTACTCGTATCGGTTGGTGACCTCTTCGTATGCATTTTAAAGAATCAATTTGACATCATTTGCCAATATTTTCTTCATACTGCCAGCCTAAAGTAGAGCTGTACAATGACAATGCCTGCCCTAGTCTCTGTGATTGCATTGGATCTCAGTGTTCCCAGCGGCTAGACTAAAGGGCCCATTCACTTGCCATCAGATGTGTATTTTGACGCAAACACACATCACTTAAAGCTGTTTTGGCTTTGTCGTGTGTAAAGAATTCAGTGGCTTTCAAGGCAGGTTAAAAATGCATTGTGTTCAAGGGAAACTTGAAATAATTTCTAAACCAGTGTCACAGAACTGTAAGAACGCACTGTATTATAACTTGGTGTCGTAAAGAGGGGTCGTCCTACGAAAAGGCATTCTTCGTGGCAATTTGGAATTTCCACTGATGGATTAGGGCTGCCAGTGGAGATTAGTAGTGTATTGCTATAATGCTCATTTGAGCATGAAGACACTTGGACTTTGAGCGTTTAATATCTCTCCGAGGGAGATACTTATATATTCAGTCGGGAGTCTTATATACAGCACATATATCTATCTCGTGATCACCTTCCTTCAGACATTATCGACGCAAAATCGATTTCAAATGGAAGCTCCTGTGTTTGATAGGTCTCCCGTGGAAAGTGATATCGTAACGCTTCGAAAAGAGAGAGGGCCAACTGATCATGCACGCGTGTACATGAGCAGCACAATACAGGACGAACGATAGCAAACATTCGTTTAAGACAATGACAAAATAACTCCCATTAAAACCAGAGGACTGTATTTAAGGACTGTGTGTCGCTGAAAGTTGTCTGTATCACACCGCACCACGTTTAGGGTTGTCAAGATTCAGAGTAAATGCCAAAGGGTAAAACTGCTAAATATCAACAAAGTATTGCATCTCTTAAGAGGTAGAAACGTTGCAAGCCATCTTTGTGTGGTTGCAGTGTTCTAAAGGGTAAACCAAACAGTTAATGTGCAGCCTTGCAATGACTTGTTCAGGCGAATACTAACGGTAGAGCTTCCACCCGAGGGAGCTCAAGAGAGACTCTAGACCAGTGTTCTTCACTCATTTTCAGATGTGGGGCCACTTTCGCCGATAAGACATCATCGGTGCGAGGGCCACCACATATTTGAAACCGTTGGGGTTTGACAGCAGCACGATGACGATGATGATGATGATGGGGGGGGGGGGGGGGCAGTGTCCCGCGGGCCTTTGAATGAAGAACACTGCTCCAGAGAGTATTTGGCCTACTCTTCCATGCTGGCCAGACGTGTAGGATAAGGTGAGAGAGTTCCCACACTTTACCCCCACCACACGCGACCTGCCAGTCGACCGCCGGGTCAGCCCGTTGACAGAATCAGAATCTAAATATTCAGACTGCAGGGGGAATCCGATGAGCCATTAAGCTCTTTCTTCACAGATGCCCAGTATTGGGCGGGTCAGCAATGCTGGATGAACAGAGGCGGAGGGATTCAAAGAAACTTGGCCCACTGTTTCAACTGCCGTGACGGGAAATCGAACAGGCGACCTTTGGGATGTGCAAAGCCACAGTGTGAACCACTCACGACACAACGGCAGTGTGATATACAGCGCAGCAAATTAGTTGAACGCCCTTTAACCTGTAGACAAGGTTTTACATCGGTTTTTTTTTTTTACACAGGTAAAAACCTGATCAACTGGCTTTTGTGAAAGTTGTCATTTAAACTATGAATGTACACAATCAACAATGGTGTTCTTTCGTGTAAGATTTCGCAACACAGGAGTTTGTATTATTATTATTTTGACGTGGAGCTGTCTGATACTAACTCATCGGGGGATTCCCCAGGGCTCTGGCAGGAACTGAGCTGTTGAAGCTGTCAGTGATGACTGAGCAACGCTGACCACCAAGCCCCACAGATAGCATCTGGAGGATAATGTCAGGGTGAACCTGTGAACCTGTTGAATCGAAACGCATGACTTCACTTTGTTCATACAACAGTGCATCGTGCTGATACAGAATTCTTCACCAGCATTTTAAATCTTTCTCTCTGAATGAATGCATAATGTGCTGTCACATCTCTGGTATCCCAGCTCACTTATAAAGTACAATTTTGGATGTATATACGCATAGGGAAATATTGAATTTTTATACATTTACATACTGTTCTGTCTTATTCATTAAACGAATGTAATAGTGTTACAGTATTTCATCATACAACAAGGTATCTCAGCTGTAGAACGATTGGCACGCAGTCAGAAGTGTATCAGTTCAATCCCTCGCTGGGTGTTGATTCAGCCCATCATCCCTCCAGGGTCGATAAATTGGGTATCACTTTGTGGGGAAATCAACAGTGCTGTGAAGGGGACGATCAGCAACGCCTCAATGATCACTGAGCAGGAAATCACTTCTGACTTTGTTTCTTTTTGCAGGAACTTTGCAAGTCAAAGTGCCTCATTTGCTTAGTTACGCGCCTGTGGTGGTAAACATCTCCATGGTCGTATGGAGAGACTGGTCCTCACCACAGAAATGTGGACCGCCCACAAATGTACTGGCTCAGAATTAGCAATGGTGAAAGAGCACTCACCCACATTGCTTGCTGCGGTGTGAGGACACACTTTGACCTAGGCATGCGTTTACACGGTTTGTGAAACCATGGAAGACAAATGCAAAAAATGTATAGAAACAGGATTCTCACTCCACATGTATGCTAAACTAAAACTAAACTATATATTTTTTTTTTATTTTACTAGGTAAGGCCCCCAGCGACCTGGATACAAATGATAGCTCAACGAAGTGGCTTATCACGTGGACATTTATAGCAGCCAAATACAGTCCTCTAAACGCGTGACGTTGATTCTAAATGTGGAGTAAAAAAAACCGGAGCACCCAGAGAAACATGCACGTGACCGCGGGGAGACCGTGAAAACCGAAATTATGTAGGCGTCAGGGTTGGCGTCGAACCCCCAACCCTCCTGTATACCAGGCGAGGTAGTTAACATCTCCGTCACAGCAATGAAGAGCACTGTATGTATTCATGTGAGTAAAATATATTTACAAAAAAAAGTCAGCCCTATGGTCAATCTGTTTTAGGAAGGCCTCCCCTATGTCTTGTCGGTCGTGTGGCTTGTTTGACCGTACGTCGCCACAGTATTTACGAATGACACTGCATGCATTCACGTACACTTTATGAAAGAAAAAAAAAACCCAATATCTTTCGGCGTAATCGTCTGTAATTGGTGATCTCTGCCTCGCTAACAGTCGCGAAAACTGCCCGTGTGTGCCTGTTCCAACCAATAAGACAACGTCAACAGATCGCGGTCGGTCAGAACAGCGGCAGCGCAGGGATGATTGGCAGCCTTTGCGGTTGCTTCACACAAAGCGTGTCTCGTGCATCTGAATGGCAGTGGGTTTCGGCAGATGCAACTCTCTCGTGAAATCATGGTGCTTCTGCGCAATCGAGCAACGTGCTTGGGGGCCGTCCATAATTGACGTCACGCGATTTTGGATGATTTTGACCCCCCCCCCCTCCGACCCCGCTCGTCACACGGCGTCACAAAAAGTCAGACCCCCCCCCCCTCAAATATGACGTCACAAAGCTCTGCCCGCCCGCCCCCCCAAAAAATAAATAAAACATGCTTCAAATCGCTTAAAACTATTGTCATTGTAGTGTGTATTTAATGTGGCGCTGCACTCTGATGTTGTAGGAGAAAACATTTATCTAAAAGTCTATTTAATTAAGTAGAACGTGTTGTCTATATTTATTTAAAGTTGCGCATTTTGATGTGACAGTCACATTTCTCAACCCCTCCCCCCCCCCCCCTCGTCACACATCGTCACAAATATCTGACCCCACCCCCCCCTCCCAGGTGCGTGACGTCATTTATGGACGGTCCCCTTGTCAGGAGAAGCAAACCGTGGACCATCTCGCCGAGGCGCCCTGCAGCACCCACAATGCACTCCCATAAGATTTGGCAATGCCAACGCCAAGAGCGGTGGCCTGTGCAGAATATTGGGGAGAAGACTCACATGGGTTGGACGGGAGACACGGCGAAGAGGAGGAAGACAGCATCACTGACTGTCAGGCTCTCCGACGGCAAACAAACGCATTTCAAAATCACCTCCACGGAACACGGAGTGCGTCCCAAAGTGTTGTGCCTGCCATTCATTGTACGTGGCGGCAAACGTGTGCGTGCCCGTAGCCCGTCGCTGGGATGACGGAGCGGGACAGTTCGGTAGGGAACGCGTGTGTGTGTGTGTGAATTTGTTTTAAAGGAGTCTTCTGTTGGCATTTTGCTTGATGTCTTTGCTCAGTTTTGCAGACTTTGTAATTTATTTTGCGCCACTCCGTAGCCAAAGGCTAGGGAGCTGGACGCATGAACGTCGTCGTGACATTTTGTGTGACTGCACTGCTCATCCAGTGACGTGATTGCATTAATCATGTACCAGAGTTACGTGACACAATTGAAAATCCAGCAAACCGAGCATTACAATACTAATGTAATTAAACAGAGTTGTCCTTCACCGCGTTGCATTACTGGGCTGTGACGGGTAAAATTAAGTGGCTCATTCGAGCAAGTGTGTTAGCCTTTCCCTTGGCGGTTCAGCCAAATGGCTCCTGTCCATAATTCCAACCATCTATAGACAACAACTGTTCCGCCACTGTTAAGATGCGCATTATCCATATTTCCACGCATTTCCATCGTGTCATCAATCTGACAAGGTGGCAACGAGGTCAAGACATCTGTTCACGTTCATCCCAAAAAATACACCCACAAAGGATACATTGAGATGCGTTAGAACTCCTTTCTTCTGCGGTAATGCGGCAGGAACTGGCATCACGGATCCCTATTACACTGGCCTAGAATTTTTTTTAGACGTCGTCTGCTTCAGAGATGAAATGCGCTGTTTATTGTGGATTTTTACGTGCAGAATTAAAATATGACAATTAAAAACAACTGATTGCCTACTGTTCCCCAATATATTTAAGTTTTTACGTTTTTCGTCTATGTATATTTGTGTAGATAGTAGTAGTTTTACTCGTGAATTGTAAACCTATGGTCTTTTCATGTGTTTATGGTTGCTTTACGTGATAACACGTCACCTGTCCTGTTCATTTAACACTTTAAAATAATAGAATTATCAGTGACGTCATCCAACGAATTGACTCCACTTGTCCGTTAAAAAAAAAACGTACAAATGCGGATATAAAAATGGTGAATTTCGCTGTTGGCTCCTCTTATCCCAATTTGTTATTCGTTGGCAACACTGCAGTGGTACACGAGCACGAATGACAAAAAAAATCAACAAATTCGTCACAAGAACAGTGTTGAAAGGAAACATCGGTCGCATTTTAGATATATTTTTATTACTATTATATTCTTAGCTCTTTCGGTAAAAGCAATATATATTTTTTCTCCTTAAGGCAGGGTGCAGTTCAGGAAATGTTAACGACTGAACTGTAGATTACAATAAGCCCTGTCTTTTCTTCACTTGGTTTCCAAACTAGTCGCGCCGTTTGTGCGTGATGATTATTTCTGATTATAAAGTAAGACGTGAGAGAACACATTCAATGCTTGACTTAAAGCTTTCGTGACTGCAGGAATTCATATTCTTTGGGTCTTTCGGTAAAGTCACGTAGATGGTCTCTCTTTCCTCCTGATGACGATCGCTTGTGTTGTGATCGAAACGTCGTAGTTTTTGGTTATTTTCTTTCAACCTATCTACGTGACTTTACTTTCAATGCTGTACGCTAATATTGTTCATGCGTGAAGCACATTCCACATACAGCAGGAATTACAATTATTGTACTGGACAGCACATGGATATCCAACTGTCCGCAAAAGTGTATTATTCAAGGGTAACATTTAATGTACGAATGCCCTAATTACTGAGTGGTATTAAAAATTACACTCCAGGTGCAAATCCATGTTTGTACCCAAAAGCCCATTATTACTCCTGCACACACATTGTCAATGTATGCTGTTGTCAGGCTAACTGGACTCTAAAGATATAATTTTTCAGTATTTTTATTTTAACGTGATGTGTGTGCCATGCAATGCGTGTACTGTATAGAAAAAGGGTGTTTCCATTTTATCCAAAAAGCAATGTACCTTGGGGTAATGCAGTCGCTGTATGATGTTGCAGCACAGATGCTCAGTAATTGGTTTCTCAGACTGTGATGCCATTGTGACCTATGCACCAGTTACTATGGCTGTCATAAACCTTGCCACGGCAATGTTTTAAGTGGGCAAAAACAGTTTGCTGCAAGTAACAATACCTTTCATTCAAAGCCAATGTGTTTTTTTATGGATAAGTTTTAAACCTGGCTTGCTCCCAAATTGATTATATAATGGCGACAACCACATGCATAGCCATGTTTCACTACGGTGTGGGGAGCGGTGGTGTTTTGTGGTTGATGCGCTGGGCTACGAAGCCGGCGACCCGAATTCGATTCCTGCACACGGCCAACACCAGTGACGATTATCGGAACCGGTCCTGGGCCGCCCCCTAGGTCGACTCAGCCTCAAATGAGTGCGGTAGCTGGTGCGGTGTGTAAACATCGCCACGCGGGAGACAAAGGCTTCTGGGCGTGATGCTGGCCAACCACCTCCTTTATGTGCCGTGCCGGCCTTCATTGGTGCTCGCTAACAGACCTTGCCCCTAAAGTCAGTTAAGGCTATACGGGGGATCTTTGTCTCTCCATGGTGTGAGTGCTATACATGTGTAAACTGAGCTGTCTCACACTCGAAATATGACATTTCATATTTCTATGGTGCGTGCAAGTCTCTCCACAGGAAAGCTGTTGGGTGTTGCCATCCCACAGAATGGCACTCACTCATTCTGTCGAGCCTGGAGGAATGATAAGCTCAGTCTAGCCTAACACTAAAAACCTTAACCCTCAACACTTACAAAATCACAATGGTGCAATTCAGCGCTCTCACAGAGTTCACCCTGCCGCAGGAACGCAGAGTCTTTCGTTTGAAAACGTGACACTAAATCACGACTTTACACCCTTAACGTGCCGCACAGCGAACACTGTTCAGCGGGCAGGCAGGAAACACGTTCCCTTCATGCCCACGAACACTCCCATCTTCGGGCATACTTCGACAGTGGCAGAAGTTTTGTTTTTGTGTTCATAGAGAGTACCTGTCGTGCCTCGGGGATTATTTTATCGACGAGTCTTGTCCAAACTTGTCATTTATCTACTCTTAAAATAACATTTTCCGCGAGCGTTTGGCTCCATATGGAAATGCAACGAAAATGTGTATCCGGAGTATAGATAATCAACTTGGACATCTGTGAAAAGAAGAGCTTTGTAGCTCATCGGATTCCTCCGGGTCGAAATACATTTTCTGATTCTTATTCAGAAATGTAACTTGTGTTGAAGTATCACCTGCTTATCTCGAGCACTGTTTACTTCATGACAGTATACAGTGAGGGAAAAAAGTATTCGATCCCCTGCTGATTTTGTACGTTTGCCCACTGACAAATAAATGATCAGTCTATAATTTTAATGGTAGGTTTATTTGAACAGTGAGAGACAGAATAACCAAAAAATCCAGAAAAACGCATGTCAAAAATGTTATAAATTGATTTGCAGTTTAATGAGGGAAATAATTATTTGACCTCTCTGCAAAAAATGACTTAGTACTTGGTGGCAAAACCCTTGTTGGCAATCACAGAGGTCAGACGTTTCTTGTAGTTGGCCACCAGGTTTGCACACATCTCAGGAGGGATTTTGTCCCACTCCTCTTTGCAGATCTTCTCCAAGTCATTAAGGTTTCGAGGCTGACGTTTGGCAACTCGAACCTTCAGCTCCCTCCACAGATTTTCTATGGGATTAAGATCTGGAGACTGGCTAGGCCACTCCAGGACCTTAATGTGCTTCTTCTTGAGCCACTCCTTTGTTGCCTTGGCCGTGTGTTTTGGGTCATTGTCATGCTGGAATACCCATCCACGACCCATTTTCAATGCCCTGGCTGAGGGAAGGAGGTTCTCACCCAAGATTTCACGGTACATGGCCCCGTTCATCGTCCCTTTGATGCGGTGAAGTTGTCCTGTCCCCTTAGCAGAAATACACCCCCAAAGCATAATGTTTCCTCCTCCATGTTTGACGGTGGGGATGGTGTTCTTGGGGTCATAGGCAGCATTCCTCCTCCAACACGGCGAGTTGAGTTGATGCCAAAGAGCTCCATTTTGGTCTCATCTGACCACAACACTTTCACCCAGTTGTCCTCTGAATCATTCAGATGTTCATTGGCAAACTTCAGACGGGCATGTATATGTGCTTTCTTGAGCAAGGGAACCTTGCGGGTGCTGCAGGATTTCAGTCCTTCATGGCGTAGTGTGTTACCAATTGTTTTCTTGGTGACTATGATCCCAGCTGCCTTGAGATCATTGACAAGATCCTCCCGTGTAGTTCTGGGCTGATTCCTCACCGTTCTCATGATAATTGCAACTCCACGAGGTGAGATCTTGCATGGAGCCCCAGGCCGAGCGAAATTGACAGTCTTTTTGTGTTTCTTCCATTTGCGAATAATCGCACCAACTGTTGTCACCTTCTCACCAAGCTGCTTGGCAATGGTCTTGTAGCCCATTCCAGCCTTGTGTAGGTCTACAATCTTGTCCCTGACATCCTTGGAGAGCTCGTTGGTCTTGGCCATGGTAGAGAGTCTGGAATCTGATTGATTGATTGCTTCTGTGGACAGGTGTCTTTTATACAGGTAACAAGCTGAGATTCGGAGCACTCCCTTTAAGAGTGTGCTCCTAATCTCAGCTCGTTACCTGTATAAAAGACACCTGGGAGCCAGAAATCTTTCTAATTGAGAGGGGGTCAAATAGTTATTTCCCTCACTAAAATGCAAATCAATTTATAACATTTTTGACATGCGTTTTTCTGGATTTTGTTGTTTTTATTCTGTCTCTCACTGTTCAAATACACCTACCATTAAAATTATAGACTGATCATTTCTTTGTCAGTGGGCAAACGTACAAAATAAGCAGGGGATCAAATACTTTTTTTCCCTCACTGTACAAATACTGTGCTGTGTTTATTCACTGACCTCACTGGTTGCACGCAGAGAAAATTAGGGTAGAACTCCAACAATTAGCGGTGATATGGGAGGAGCGTCTCACTGACCGTGAAATCCGCGGCACACCGTGAAATTAGCACTGGAAAATTGCGGATTCTAGGAGGGAGAGAGAGGCACGTGTCTAACCACTCCGATAGTATGTGGGAAACAAACAAAAAACCCTGCAGATAATTATAGGAGTTTCACCTTTTTATTTCTGAAACCCCTTTGGAGCAAATCTACCGCACCTCCGATAAGCAAGATTGGCTATGTACGTTGCGAAAGGAAGTTCAACATAAAAACATACGACCAAATGCGCCTCTGTGGTTAAGTTTTTTCGCATTTCTGAGAATTATCGTCCAAAGCGAATTACATCGCCCGATCAAGAGACCACGCCATGAAAGCCTGCATAACCCGAACCCAATATTTTGTTTGAAACATTTTTAATTCACATGTTATTTCTGTATCTCTGTCTCTACATCTCCGTGTGTCTATGAATGTCCATTTGTCTCTCTGCACCTTTCTGTATCTCAGAGACAGAGACGTGTTTGAAGTGCTTCAAAAATGTCACCACGCTATGAATGTGTTTTTTTTAAAGTGCGGCAGGCTTCTTTCTTTGAAGTCTGCTACACTTTCGTTGAAGCCTGTCACGCTTTTAAAAAATCCCATTGTGGTGTCTCGCGAATTTTAGGAGTAATTAACCACCATATGTAATCTGCGAACTTCCGCAGATCCTGTGAGTTTTAACTGCCCTCTAAGAAAATTCCCATAATCTTATTATTCTCCAAATCATGGAGGCACTGAGAGTAATTTGCTGCTCCTAAAATGATTGACGTCCACTCACATATAACATTGACAAGGATATTTCTTTATTTATCTTGCATAACCGGTGCTCTAACTGTATGACAGTCACGTGTAAAAGCATTCTCTGAATAAATACACTTGAAGGATTGATTTTTAGAATGTCACAGTATCGTGTATTTCGTGTATCTACCATGTTGAAATTGAGTCGACTGGATATTCTTGCAAAATACAAACATGATATTACAGTGGACAGGAACATGTAACAATGCTTGTGCACGTTGTAATTATATCAAATGTCTCCGGCAAAAACAACCCCCTACCTCCTCGTTGGTGCTGGACGGTAACGCTGTGGTGAGCAGTGACATGCGTGGGAGGGCCAATTTATATTGGCCATTCCCCTCATGGCGTTTATAACCACCACAGCGGCCAAATGGGGGTTCCGGATGGGCGCGAAGGGCTGGTAACCCCTCCACCTTCAATTAATTACCACAAAACCACGTCTAAAATATTTAATTAAGCTTGTGCCGGAGGCCCCGGGAGGACAGGCGTCGATGGCGTCTCCTGGCTAAACCCCATTTGGCGGAGCCAGGAGACTGAATCTTTACCCTCGGGGCTCCTCCAGAAACAACAAAAAACCACTGAGGGTGGCCACGTGGAATGTTCGAACGCTCACTGCGGAGGAGAGGCTGCCACTCCTCTGCCGGAAGCAGGACCGGTACCACCTGGATCTCTGTGGTATTCAGTAGGTCCGGTGGACCGGCTCTGGCTCGTGCCACCATGAGGGGTGGACAGTCCTCTACCCGGGGCAGGAGACTGCCAAACAACAGGGAGTGGCTCTTTTTCTGAACAAAAAAATGAAGGGGGCGTGGGAGCGTGGCAATGAGGTGTGGGAAGCTGTAAGCCCCAGGCTGCTTTGGGCTCGCCTTCCCATCAACAAGAGGCGAGGAGTGGTGGTCGTGGTTACTTATGCCCCCACCGAAGACGAACATCCGTGGAGGGATGTAGGCAAGGCCGATGAGTCAGATGGCTTCCATGACCTCCTGTCATAGGTGCTAGCTAAAGTGGCCCCTCGGGATAGAGTAATTTTGTTGGGCGACTTTAATGCCCGAGTTGGTCATGATGCTGGCACCAGGTCTGGAGTGATTGGAAGGCATGGGTCATATCAGCTCAATAACAACGGTAGGAGGCTGCTAGATTTTTGTGCAGTCCATGGGCTTGTAATTACCAACACACTGTTCCGGCATCAGCGCATCCACACAACATCATGGATGCATGCCGGGTTTAAGCAAGAACATCTGCTGGACTACATAGTGACAAAATAGCGGATGCGGGCCCATGTCCTTGACACCAGGACCTACCGTGGAGCTGATCTGCCCACTGACCATCGACTTGTCATCTGTAAGATGCACCTGCCATTCTTCCACTCTGGTGCTGGGTGTATACCCAGGACCACATTCAAACCCAAGGTGGCCTGGTCTCAGCTAGCTGATGAAAGTTGCAAGCGAGAATATAATCATCGCTTGCTTCTGGGGTTGGCATCGTCCCCCACTCCTCCAGATGTCGAGGGGAAATGGG